TAAGTTTTTTTTTTGATGTGGACCATTTTTAAAGTCTTTATTGAATTTGTTACAATATTGCTTCTGTCTTATGTTTTGGTTTTTTGGCCGCAAGGCATGTGGGATCTTAGCTCCCCAACAAGGGATTGAACCCGCATCCCCAGCATTGGAAGGTGAGTCTTAACTACTGGACCGACTGAGAAGTCTCAAGCCTGTACTCTTATCTAAGGCTCAGGGTCCTCTTGCAAGTTCATGTAGTTATTTGGAGAATTCATTTTCTTGCAGCTTTAGAACTCATGGAGCCTTGCTTCTTAAAGTTCAGCAGAAGAAAGAATCTCTGACTTTTTCCATGTCTGACCCCTGGACCCTCCTTTAAAGGGCTCATCTGATTAGGTCAGTCCAACCAGGATAATCTCCCCTTTGATTACTCAAAGTCAACTGATTACAGACCTTGATTACACGTGTAAAATCGCTTCATCTTTGCCATAAAATGTAACGTAATCACAGAACTAGCCCATCATATTCACACATCCCACCCACACCCAAGGGGAGGGGATTATACAAGGGTGAGTACAGGCATACGTCATTTTATTGTGCTTTGCTTCATTCCACTTGGTAGATTTTGCATTCTTACGCATTGAAGGTTTGTGGCAACCCTGCTTTTTCAGGTGATGTTTAACATTTTTTTAGCAATAAAGTATTTTTCGATTAAGGTATGTACATTTTTTAGACATAATGCTATTATTACATATTTAATAGACTAAAGTATAGTGTAAACATAACTTTTATATGCACTGGGAAACCAAAAAATTTGTGTGACTTGCTCTATTATGATACTTGCTTTATTGCAGTGATCTGGAACCAAACACAATATCTCCGAGGTAAACTTGAACCTCACGGGGAGGAATCTTGAGAGAAGGACATCTTAGAATTCTGCCTACCATAGGTTATGATCTTTGATAAAGTAGGAAAGGACATTGCCTTCACCTGTGTTTGGGTGTCACCCCCCCCCTTTCCTATGTCCCCAAGGACCATATCCCATCAGTCATACGAGTGTGAGTGTGTATACAGGTAAGTTTGGAGGTACTCAACTGAGAACATAAGAACATATTATTCTCTTTTCCTTTTCTTTTCTTTCTTTCTTTCTTTCTTTTCTTTTTTTAACTTAAATGAGTTGCCTTGCTTAAGAACTGATTTTATCACATTCTTGCAGTGTTTCACATTACCACTCTACACTTGCCTACTATGGGTACACTTACTTGTAAACAAGCTATTTGGGAATTAACAGGGCAGAGTGTTTTCACAGATGTCAAGGTGGCCAAAAATCTTTCTCTTTCCAACTACATATGATCAGAAAGCTGCATCTTTGCATGAAGGCTAGTTATTGAAGTTCTATTAAAATAATTTTGATCTCAACCACTTCAATTGAAACCCATATGATAGTTTCTCTTTTTCTGTCTGTCTGTCTGTCATTCTATCTTACACAAAGTATGTCTTTGGCTTTTCCCTGGGGAAGGGGGAAGAAGAAGCATCAACTCTATGTTCCTCCAGTTGGGTTAGAATCTGTAAATTAATCTGCTCCATAGGAAGGTATTCCCAAATGACTCCAGTTACCTTGGAGGAAACAGGCTAATTTATCTCCCTATTATGGATACTACTTGGCTGCCACACTCTGAATCTAATAAACACAAATTAACCTTGAGGGGAGCTTTAGAGATCACAGTGATAAATCTAAACAGTACAGATTGGGCTGTGAACCAGAAACTCATCTGCCTCCTTCACCACTTCTTAAGCTTTCAAAAAGTTCAACTTGTTTCTTGCCTAGGCTTCCACAGGGCGTCTCACATGTACATTCCTTCTTTCCAACATGACTTTTTGCCTGTTAGTTGAGCCTTTCCTTATTTTAACTCCTTTTCTCATCCTGAAGTCTCTTGCTTCAGTTCCCAGGGTATACTGCTCCTCCCAAAGAAATCAATCAACTTGGAAGTCAGATTGTTAGTGCTAAGGTTGGACTTCGCTAGTGTTAGGGATTGTTAAAGTTAGGGCTGCAATTAGTGCAATCAGTATTAAAACTGAGGAATTTAGGGTCATAGTGGTTTATTAATAAATAATTTGGTGACCATCTGCAATTTTTTTATAACAATCCATATAGAGCTACAATATCTTTTTAACTGAATGTAACCTAAAATTTTGTGTTTCATTAAGTGTATGTCTTGTGATTTGCAGTTCTGGCATTCTCTGTCAGTATAAACCATTCTGTCCTCTGATTTCTGTTGCTGATTTGCCATATAACTGAGGAGGTTAAGGATATAGGGTGTTCCCTATTACAGGTGGAATTTTTGCTTTGTCCAAAAGTTAAAGGAAAAAAAACCAGAAACATTGCTAACTACGAGGTTTAATTCCTCCTAAAAACCCTCAGGGAGTCCACATAAAAGAGTTATATTCTGAACCCACCTTTATCTTAATGTAAATACAGAGGGATAGATACAGAAACAACTATATCTATATATAACTATAAACCAAGAACCCAGATCTTTGTTTCTAAATACCATTCCTTAATAAAAGGAACCAGGGCACATTATACAAAATCTGTGAAGATATGTTCCTATTTAAAACTTGTCTTAGAATGTTTTGGCCTTTCTTACTTTTAGCTATATATCTTTTCATGTGATTTACTCCTTTACAATTAGCTTTGTATATGTATATATATATATATATATACATATATATATAACTTTTTTAATGTTTAAAAAGTAAATGTTCATTGTGACCATTTTAAAAAGAGAAGTATATAGAAAAAACGCAAAAGTCTCTCAATGGGTTTCTCAGTTTTGAACATTGATTGAAACAGCTGAAATCTTTAACTTATTTAAAACATTCCTACAATAAATAATGAGCTATTGGGCCTCCCTGGTGGAGCAGTGGTTAAGAATCCGCCTGCCAGTGCAGGGGACATGGGTTCGAGCCCTGGTCCGGGAAGATCCCACATGCCGTGGAGCAACTCAGCACGTGCACCACAACTACAGAGCCCATGCGCTCTGGAGCCCACGCACCACAACTAGAGAAAAGCCTCAAGGAGATCTCGAAACAAAGACCCGACGCAGCCAAAAAAAAAAAAAAAAAGATGTTGGTCAGGCTGTGTTTTCACATGGAGGCTTAACTGGGGAAGAATCTGTTTCCAAGCTCATTCAGGGTATTGGTAGAATTTATTCCTTGCCGTTGTAGGACTGAGGGCCCCATATTTTTGCTGGTTGTCAGCTAGAGACTACCCATAAGTCCTAGAGGCCACCACTAGTTCTCTGCCATGTGGCCCTCTCCATGGGCAGTTCATATGGCTGTTGGCTTCTTCAAGGTGATCAGGAGAGCTTTTAGCTCCAGTCTGCTAAGCTGGGGTCACATAATATAATGTAATCCCAGGAGTGGTGACATCGCATCACTTTTACCATAGTTTATCGGCTAGAAGTCACAGGTTGTACCTGCACTCAAGGAGAAAGGATTATACAAAGGCATGAGCACCAGGAGAAAGAGATCACCGGGGATTGTGTTGGGGTCCGAGCTCTCATTTCCTCATCTAAATTAGAAGTAATCGTTCTTGTCTTAAGGAAGATTGTGAATGATCTTCTTATAGGGAAGAAACTTGGGCCTCTTCCATTTCCACCATCTTATCTTATAGACAAGGAATTGAGGCCCCAAAAGAGTAAACGGTTTGCCTGAGTTTGGTGGCTGAGCTCAGCGTTGTTTATTCCCAGGTCAGCATGCTTGCTACACACTGTGATGCCTATGAAGTATCTTATTTTATTTTATGATATTTTTCACTTCAAACTTAAGCAAAATGAAATATACTTGTATGTATTGGTGGGCAGGGTAGAAGGCGGGTGCAGGTATTGCAAAGAATGCTGCATGTAAATGGTCAAGTATGGCAACTGCCATGTGCATTTGAGTTTCTGGGTGTGCTCAAGTACAAGAGCCAGTGAGTGAAAGAATTACTTATATTCAGGTGGAGGCTAATGCGTACACTACTTCATTTAGTCATCTTAACAACTCTATAGAGCAGAAATTACTGCTCTACAGATTAAAAGATAAAACAGGCTCAGTGAAGATAACAATTATTCTGGGTACTGTCAACCATCAAGTTGCAATGACCAAATCATAGCCAAATAAAATAAATTGCTCACTCTGGCCCATTCCATTTCCCTATCACTAATTTATATCCTGTGAAATTTGTCATAGACTTGCCCTTGCCTTTTTTCCTTTTGCTATCTGAGCCTTGCTACTCCTGGTAACTTTTGGTGGGAGGAGCTCATAATAACGGATTGTTAAATCTTCTAATCCTTTTAGATGTCTGTATCTCCTGGCTTTAGTCATGTTGCCATAAATAAGCCTAGGAGGACCTACTTCATAAATGGTTTCTTGTCTGTATATTAGGTAACTGAATTTCCATATGTCTATAAATTCAGAGCATTAATGAACCACAGATAGGCTTTTAAAAATGTTGAATCCCAGTTCCTATTCTTGATCTCCTCATTTATTTTTGGGAACCACTTCTCATTTAAGGCATACTTAGCTACTTAAAGGATTGAGAGATTTAAAGTCAAGTATGAATGCCTTCACTACTGAATGTTTATAGACTATTTTTTCTCTTTTGATAGTCTTGGGGGCAACACAACTTCCTGGGGGAATGTAGGATTTTTTTTCACTACATAGTGCATCCTCCTAACATATCTTTGACATTAACTCCCCAAATCTTACAACTGCAGCGTACACTTCCTGGGCACCCTAAAGCTGCTAGTTTACCGGAAGGCTTAACCAAGACCCTTGCGGAATCGTTCAAGGTCACTGGGGCAGGTGCCCGCCCCGGGGCCTGAACGCGCGCTGCCAGGCCCATTTCCTTCTCCGAAATGGCACCCGCTCTCTCCCAACTCTGGGGGTTCACTCAGGCTGACTGCGACCCGGCCGAGAGAACACCATCCGCCGTCGCGGGGGTGCAAGCTTGGAAACGCGCCGCAAGAAGGTTCCTGAGTGGCAGGCGGTGGGGGGCGGACCGGGGGAAGCCGGGGCGGAGCCGGCGGAGTACGGCGTGCCGGGCTACGCCTCCCGGGGCCACTGGGCCGCGCCCGTTGGCGGAAGCCCGGCTCAGTCCGGCCGGAGACGCTCTGGTCAAGGGTCCGCGGCGGCGCCGGCGCGCCCGCTTTCGCTCCGTGCCCGCTAGCTGGCCTCCGGCCGCAGCACCCGCGCGCCGCGGTCCCCGGGCCATGCAGCGCTTAGCCATGGACCTGCGGATGCTCTCCCGGGAGCTCTCGCTCTACCTGGAGCATCAAGTCCGGATCGGTTTCTTCGGTTCGGGAGTGGGCTTATCCCTGATCCTGGGCTTCAGCTTCGCTTACGCCTGCTACTACATGAGCAGCATTGCCAAGGTGAGCCGGGGGATGGCGCGGGCGCAGGGCCGCGGGCAGCTCTCTGGGAGTGACAGCAGCAGGCGAAGCCGGAGGTGCCGCTGTCTGGGGCGAGTGTCTGGGGCCGTCCGGGGCGCCCTTTCCCCGGCATCTGATGGACGCCCTCTGAGCGCGCGGGACCCTGCTGACCTCGGCGCGGCGGCACTGCCCTGTCACCATTCGCTAACCTGGTAAAGCAGCTCCGCGATGCTCTAGCACTTCTGAGGATGACTCTCGTGTGTCAACTCTCTCCATTCCCTAGAAGGGTTTAATAAACCACTGTTAAGTTCGTTGTGTTTGAATTATTTGCATCAGGCTTCCAGAAGGATATGTAATAAGATGCATCTCGCGCTAGGGACGAGTTTGCGCTTGTTTCTGGTTTACAGTTGGCAGAAACTTTGTTCTGGACACCTCACTGATACTGGCTTTCCCCACAGAAGCCCCAGTTAGTGACAGGGGGTGAAAGTTTCAGCCGCTTCCTTCAGGACCACTGTCCTGTGGTGACAGAAACGTACTACCCGACGGTCTGGTGCTGGGAGAGTCGAGGACAGACACTGCTGAGACCTTTCATCACTTCCAAGCCTCCGGTGAAGTATAGGAAGTAAGTAAAGTTCCATTTTCAGTCATTTCTTCAAAATCACAATGTTTTGCATACTCCCAGTTTTTGGTTAATACAACCTCCGGTTTAGTTAAGTATATAGAAAAGCAAGGGGGAATGAAGGTGGAAGGCACGTCTGCCACAGACACACGCAGCTGCAGGAAAATATTCAGGTGTTACCTTTCACCACTGTTGGGGGGAGGTGCTCTGATGTAAATGGTTTATTTTCTAAGATGAGAGAAGTGTTTGGGGGTTACTCTTTTTCCAATTTGTCATGCCTCTGTCCCTGAGGACCTAGATCCTTTGATGATATGCATTGAGCTGGCAGTGGGGGTGAGAAGGACGCCAATTAATGTGGATTTTCTGTGATGGACCCCAGTAAAAGGACTTCATATTGATAAGCAAATGGGTTCTTGTGGATAATGTCCTTGAGGTGTTAAAGATATGGTCCAGAATATATCAGTAGCCAGGAGATTTAAATGGTGCTTATTATTAATTTTACTGAGTCATCTAGTCCCTCTAGAGTTTCTTTTGTTGCCTGGAACTTGCACTATTCGTTTGGGAAAACTCTTCAAGTTCGTAGATACTATGAGAGAAGTACTTTGAAGTGTTTAAGAAGCAAATTTTGTAATATGCTCTGTGAGGAGACTGCATTATTGAGTCAAACGGCTAGAGCGGTGATCAGATCAGCAGTTTACTTATTCAAGATTCTCTGTTGAATTATTTGGGTGACCTCAGTCAAATAGGGGTTAAATGCTGGGTATTTCAGAGCAATGAGGAAATGATTAAGATAAATATTTGAAGTAGTTTGAAGCCCATTTTTACGTACTATCTTTTACTGATCTTGCTGGAAATACTTTATTATACTAATTTCATGACATTCATGTGATGAAAGAAAGTGACGTGTGTGTTAGTGGAGGCTGGAAAGAAGTTATTTTGAGAGGACCAAGTAATGGCATATATATATACAGAGAGAGAAAGAGAGAGAGAATTAGGAACTAATATTAAGACATGACTTGAAACACTAAAAGAGTATGTATGTCTTTTGTGTTATTTCTTTCAGTGAACTTATTAAAACTGCAGATGGAGGACAGATTTCACTGGACTGGTTTGATGATGATAACAGTAAGTGTTATATGGATGCCAGCACCAGACCTACTATCTTATTGCTGCCTGGCCTCACTGGAACAAGCAAGGAATCGTATATCCTTCATATGATTCACCTTAGTGAAGAATTGGGATACAGGTACCGGTGAAAGATTTCTTCTGTTTTTCACTTAATTCATTCTAAATGAAGCTTAAATATGTCTGCATGTTTGTTTCCGAAATACTTGTTATTTCTTGCATGGATTATGCAATCCCCTAAATTATTATTTTTCCCTGCTTCCTCCTTCCCCTCTTTTTTCAGGAAAATGCATAACTGAATCATTGCACAGGAAATAGTACTTAGGCACTCAGCAGATTTCGGTTGAATGAATGCATGAAATTAGAATCACTTAGGAATTGACATAGGACCCAGGGCTAAGAAGCAGTAGGCCACAGTGAAGGGATTGCTAGGAGAATAGCAATTACAAACCCCTGAGAGACTGCCCAATGTCCCTCATGTCATACTCCACATTTGGGCTCTGGATGCACTAATCTTGCCTCATCGGCTCAGACCCCAAGTGTAAAAAATATTCAGAATCAGCTTGTAGGTCATCCTTATCTTTCCAAAGGTGATCTGTGCCTTTTCTGTCCACCTGAGTTTGCAGGCACACATGGCTAGGGTCCAGTTAATGATGGCACAGCATTTTTCAGTAATCATTATTCAACTCAGTCACCAGATACTATTTAATTTTTGCAAGCAACTTAGCAACTTTAAATTTCTGGTTCAGTTCTAAAATTTGAAAGCAGATTCATTGTGAAAGGTACTGCTTTTCTGAGCCTCAGTCTTTTTTAGCCAATGGTAATTATTGTAGTGGAACACTCTGAGTTGTGTTTAAAGCCAAGTTGTATCTTTTCTTAAACTCAAAACACTTGTTTTGTGAAAAACTGATGTTGACTTTATATTAATAAAAACATTTTGATATAAAGAAGAAAATGCCATAATAGCTAATTCAATTTTAACAAGTTAACTCTGATCTTTTACAGATAAAGTCTATTTTGTTCATGAGGTGACAGTCTCTTGAAAGCCTTGATATGGTGTTCCAGAATTATGGTTCCTATTAAATTTGCACTATAAGCAATAGCAGGAATTTATCATTGGATATCATTGGATACAATGTTTAAACACCATTCAGTTAGATATGAGGCTTGATTCCAATTTTTTGCTAAAACTTAGTCATGCTCAGAAAATACAGATTATAAAGCCTTTTGTACATATTTAAATTGCTGATTCTATACTTTGCCTGAACTGTCTCCCAAGACTTAGAAAGTGCTTTTAAAAACAATGTAGTTGACGGGGGAGGGGAGGAGGGAGAGGGATGGACTGGGAGTTTGGGGTTAGTAGATGCAAACTATTACATTTAGAATGGATAAACAACAAGGTCCTACTGTAGAGCACAGGGAACTATATCCAATCTCCCGGGATAAACCATAATGGAAAAGAATATTTAAAAAAAAGAATGTATATATGTGTATAACTGAGTCACTTGCCTGTACAGCAGAAATTAGCACAACATTGTAAATCAATTATACTTCAATAAATAACAAAAACAAACAAACAAAACACAATGTAGTTGAAACTCAAGGACTGAATCTCATAAGCTCTAGAGTTACCGGTATGCATGGCTTTTTTCCATTACTTGTAAAAGTTGCCAAATTTTATTACCATGGCTACTGTTACACTGTGCTTCAAAGCTGTAGGAAGGTTCTAGCTTCCCTAAGGGTTAAAATCTCTTCTACTGATTCAGAAATTTTATTGAGAATGTATGATAGAAGGAAGGCTCTACGCTGGGTACTGTGAGGAGATACAAAGAGTTGTGGGAAATTGTCCTTACCATAAGGAGCCTATGAGAGGGTAAGGCTGGACCAGATCACTGTCAGCTGCTTGAAGACCCAGCTTATTTGGGTTTAGGGAACTCTAACGCTGAATCACACTGGGCTTGAAGGTAGCAGAATGCATGAGTAAGCAATGACCGGTAAACTTTTCAGTGGCCTTTGGACCTATCCTCATTTGTTTTTAACTGCAAGGAATCTCTGAATCTAGGTCAGAGAGGGTTAGCTTTTGTTGTATAACAAACTCTCCCCAAACTTAGTGGCTAAAAACATTTCTGCTCACAATCTGTGGGCCAGCAATTTGGGCTGAGCTCAGCCGGGTGGTTCTTCTGGTCTTGGCCGAGATCACTCATGCATTTGTGGTCAGCAGCCTGGACAACTCTGGGTTTGGGAGCCATCATCAGGGATGACTCTTCTCAGCTCCATGTGGTCTCTCATCCACCATCAGGCTCACCCCAAGTTCACTGGGCAGCACAGTGTTCCAAGAGTACAAAAGTGACAGCTGCAAGGCTTCTTCAGGCCCAAGCTGAGAACTCTCACAGTGTTGCTTCTGCCATGTTGTAGTCAGGTCATGTGGGCACCCTTGAGTCAGGTGGTAGGAATTTAGCCTCCACCTCTTGAGAGGAAGGGCTATTAAATGTGTTTACAATCCACCACAGACAGCTAGGTAGTTTCAAAGACCACTGATGAAAAAAATGGATCTGGAACTTTGGCACAAGGCTGTGTGGAGTCCTTGGGTTGCAAAACAGATCTAAGTCACTGATAGCCTTGCATGGGATCCAGTAGGTAACAGAGCTTGGGGAAGGCTGTGTAATATGGGGGAATGTGCCTGGGCTTTAGAGCCAGGTCTGGGTTCAAATGTTGGAACTTCCACTTACTGAGTAACCCTGGGCAACTAATTTTTAACTTCCCCAAATGTAGCTTCTCACTTATTACAGAGTTTAAATGAATTAGAATGTGTAAAGTGTTTGGTTTCATGCCTTGAGCAAAATGGGTCTTTAGAAGTGTTTTGTCTTCCTTCCTAGACCTTCTGTTCCCTGAGCAAAGTAGAACATTTTTTTATAGTTTAAAGAGCAAGTATGAGCAAACCTACCTCTTGGGAAACATCTAGTTTCCTTGCAGGGATGCTTTGGTATTATGTTAATGTCTCTTATACAGTAGAGCTGCAAAGGCAGCACGAGCACCCCAATATCATGAGGGTGCACTTGCCTCAGGCCCCAGTTACTATCTTATGTACAGTTTGAGTATGTAGGGAGGGTCATGGATTCTGTCAGTTCACCAGGGAACCATTGATGCTTTACTTGTGAGATATGATTTAGACTTTAGAGAAAACCTAACTCCTGGCATATGGACAAATGAAACATAAGGGTTTACTGTTGTTACTGTTAAGTAAATTTTTTTCCTGTACCTGAAAACTAACAAAGACACAACACAAAACTTTTCTGTTAAGGTCCACTAATTCAAAATTAATAATGAAAGGAAACTAAGCTAAGGTTTGTTTAAGGTAATTGTGAGTAAAGGTTAAGAAGTCAAAAGTAAATGGAGCTGAGTGGGCAATACTTGGGCTGCCTTCATTGGCAGAGTCCATTATGTACTTCCCTGAATAAACTTGCCCCTGAGAGGAGAAGAGAATTTGCTGAGCCACGCGACCCACTCATTCTTCAAAATTGTATCAGTCAGGTAAGTCCTTCATCTCCTGGAGGACAAGTGAAGTAAGAAAGGCCGGGAGGCCAGGAGTGCATTTAGAGAGAAGCCCTCATAGAAACCAGAGGACTGGACAAAAAGTCATTCTCTCTAATAAGTTACACCCATATGATTGATAAAGTAGTTAGAAATCTCATCCATTTCTTCAAGATTTCTTTTTAAAAAATTCTATTCGGTAATATAGCCGAATAGATATTATTTTGTATACCAGGACAATATCCTATTTTCTTAAATCTTTTACCCATTCTCTGAATTAAGTTACAGCATTTCAACTAAAGTCAGGGAGAAAAACAGTAACTCTGAAAGCATCTTAATCATCTTTTACTCTGACCTCTTTTACTGAGAGCCTTCATCTACTATTTTATTCCACCCCCAGCTAATATTAAAAAAGAGTGACCCATCCAGAATTATGTACTAATAAACTCATTGAAATCTAGGTCAGTCATTAAGTATTTTGGTATAGTAAAGTACAGTATCAGAACCTATATTCCCAAAGAGCATTTGCACAGTCTAGTGGAAGTGACAAAGAGTATTCAGTAGTAGGGAAGAAATGCATTAGAGAGGACCAGGATTGGCAACAAGTGACAGAAAACTCAAAATAACAGTGACTTAAACAAAATACAAGTTTATTTCTCTCTCACGTGAAAATCCAAGAAGGTAGATCAGGACTCTATAGTGTCAGAAAACTAAGTTTCTTTTATCATGTTGCTTCATAACCTATGGCTGCTTCAGCTCCAGCTATCACATCTGCCTTCCAACACCCAAGAAAGAGAAAAAAGGGAGACTAGAGAATGCAGCATCTCCCTTTAAGGATGCTTTCCAGCAAGTATGCGTACCAGTTTTGCTTTTGTCACCTGGGCCTGCTCTTCCTTAGCTGGAAGGGAGGTTTGGAAGTAAATCTTTATTTTGGGCAGCCATGTATCCAATTGAAATTGGGGGATTCTGTTACTGAGGAAAAAAGGGGAGGGTGGATATTGGGAGATAACTGAAAGTCTCTAGCGCTGACTGGTCAGAGTGTTGCAAGTGCCAGGATTCTGGACTATCAGAAGCAAGCGAGACATTTTACAGAGAGAAGAAATAGGTCAGCAGGGTCAGATGCAACCGAAAGGGCAAGGAGAATGAGGGTGGATAAAGCACAATTTGAGAAGATTCATTAGAGCAGGAGGAAGGAAGCCCAACTGCTGCGGCAAAGATGACCTCAGGAGACCACAGGAGACAAGAGCAGGAGTGGGTCACACATTTTTTGTTTGTTTGTTTGTTTGGGGTTTTTTTTTTTTTTTGGCTGCATGGCTTGCGGGATCTTAGTTCCCTGACCAGGGTTGGAACCCGGACCTCCTAAAGTGGAAACGCAGAGAGAGTCCTTACCACTGGACCTCCAGGGAATTCCTAGGTCACACATTTGTTAAGTTTTGACAGAGAAAGGAGAGAAACAGCAGAAGAGGGCAAAGGGATCAACTGAGGAATTTGTCAAGATTGTAGGCTTATGTTTCAAGAAATTTCCTTCTTGCCACATTTACAAAAAATACTTAGAAAGCACTGATTTTCTTCTGTGGTTTGATAGGATCA